GGATTATGGTGTGTAGGGGTAATAAAATATCAAATACAACTATATCAGATGTTCAGCAGTTTTCATTTTTATGAGAAGTACTTCGATTTTGTTGAATTTGTGTTTCTTTACCAGTTTTTTGGAATGCTGCAGCAGCAAGAGCAGCCAATCAAAACGTTTTTGTTGAACTGTCAAACTAGTTCATTTCATTGGCGTCTAACTTTAGGTTGTATTTTCAAAGCATCTATACATCTCAAGATACTTAATGAAAAGCACTATACAAAAACTTCACTAGGTTTTTTTTGTTGTGTTGCTATCAGTGAATCTCAAATTGTGAAAATTAAATGCTCTGTCAATCATACTGTTGTACAAGCTGTTTAACATAGTCACAATTCTAAAAATGTGACTTCCTATGCATGGTCTGAGCAAATTTTTCTTAAATCAAAATCAAAAGTGTGGTAGTGGTTAACGGCTGACGTTATAGACAGGGTAGACAGTAATTGTCCTGAATTTTTTAAAGAAAGAATGACAGAGCCCCTTTCTTGTCTCGTCCGTCTAGTGTGACCCTTTGCTGGGGAGTCTACGGACCGTTAATGCTTCCCTTTTACCTTTTTTGAAATGTCTTTACAGGAAGAAGAAAAGATCTTGCTCTTTGTTTGAGTTAATTGTGTCCCTTTCCATACTGTTGATGATTTACCTGTTGCGTGTTGTGGTCCCTCTACTTCTATCCAGTGGTAAGGCTGGGTTCATCTTTTCTCGGTGAATCATGGCCGGTAGGGAGCTGACTTGTTGTGAACGACAATCCAACTCAATTTCTCTGTCCAGCTTTAAAGTTAAAAAAGCCTGTTCTCCTCGGATGTATTGGATGTGACTGTACAGATCTTATCGTCCTTTTCATGTCTGAACTTTGTGGCTGAGGTTTGACATCTTTGTGTGCTTCCTGTGTTCATGCTTTGGAGATGTTTGCAGATAAGCAGGTCCCGTAAAAATGCATTATATATAATATATATGTGCCTTCAAAATGACCTGCTCTGAAGTAAATCGTAACGTGACCAATGACAACGAACATACCTATTAATGTCATCCATATCACGCAGCCTTTGTATATATTATTATGAATGTCATATTATGCAGAAACATAGATGAGAATATTTTGTAAATCAGAGAACAACTGTGAAAAAAGTATCTGCAACACATATGTTTAGTGTGTGTGTGTGTGTGTATGTGTGTATGTGTGTGTGTGTGTGTGTGTGTGTGTGTGTGTGTGTGTGTGTGTG